AATGGAATATATATATATATATATTCCATTCACTGTCATTATAATGGGCAGGAGGATATGTCAAACAGACACCTCAAAATCTGGGTAACTATCTCAGAGGTTTGAAAGTGGCACAGCATGCACATGATGGAAGGTGAGAGTTTTCATTCAGCTCTATAGTCAACCTGTAACAAACCAGTTTTTAACTCGATTCTGTCAAGGTATGATGCTGGGAAAGACAACTACATTGACCTGATGGAGCTGAAGCTGATGATGGAGAAGCTTGGAGCGTCACAGACACACATTGGCTTGAAGAACATGATCAAGGAGGTGGATGAGGACCTGGACAACAAGTTGAGCTTCAGAGAGGTGAAACGAGAAAACCAAATTAGAATCAGAGGATGTGTTATTCCTTCTGTCTACATCCATTTATCTTTGTTCTTCCTGTCCCTCACAGTTCCTACTCATCTTCAGGAAGGCAGCAGCAGGAGAGCTGGCAGAGGACAGCGGCCTCGGTGTCCTCGCTCGCCTCTCTGAAATCGATGTCTCTACAGAGGGGGTCAAAGGAGCTAAGACCTTCTTTGAAGCCAAGGTAAGTAAAAGTTACTTCTTATACAACAACAACATACACACTAACGGTGTATAAGCTGTGTTTTAGAAGAGATTAAATGGTGGAAGCTAACTGGACTTTAATAGCTGACTCTTATAATGGACATTCGTCCCAGTGAATGCATTTGAATGCATTTGAATGCATTCGACTGGAATGCATTTGACTGGATCCCAATATTCGTTTACTGCACTTTATTCACTCGAGTTGAAGGTACATCAATACACCGGACACTTGGTCATAAAAGGGAACTTAGGCTAGATTTTTGAACCTGTGGTTCTGAAACAGAAAATAAAAGCATAGAATTCAAGGCATATAGTTACACTTGCTTGGGTTGTCCCAAGTTAGAATTATACAAATTTATAACCAAACAAAGTAAAATACTCAATTTAACTTAATAGCAAACGTCTGTACATTTACAGGCTGCTATCATTCAACAAAAACACCAATATAATTATTTAACCCAATAGGCAACAATTAAGGCGGTGAGATAGCACAATATGGAGTTGGGTAAATCAAAGTCCCATGGCCCACAGCCCTGTTACAATGGTAAAGAGCAACCTCTAGTGGGGAAATCGGTAGATTGGAGGTGGAGGTGGGGCAGACTTGACAGCTGACTCTTTGTTGAGGAGATCAAAGCAAGCATCAAAGGTTTTCAGCTCATCTGGCAACGTGTCCTCACAAAATCTGTCCGCACTTTGTTTTTGTCATGGTAGCTCGTTTAATTAGCTGGCCATAAGTAGCAGGAGCAGGGAAATATCTGATTGTCTGAAGGGGGGGGGCTTTTTTAGCTGCCAGGAATATTCATGTAAACATGGTCCAGTGTATGGTCCATCCTCTGGTGGGGACGTGGACATGCTGGTGGAATTTAGGTAAAACAGATCTCAGGTTTGTTGAATTAGAATCAACAGCTAAAATATAAATAACATCCGTTTGTTTTTTCATGTGTCTACTGATGACCTCATACAATTCCTGAAGTGCATTTTTTTTTAAATTTTCATCGGGAGGAATGTAAACAACAAAAACACTGGTGAATTCTCTGTCAGATAATATGGCCGGCATCTTAGCATTACAAATTAGACATCAGGGGAACATTGTCCATCGACTTTGACTAAGTTTGAGCACCAAGCATCATTAATGTTTACACACAGTCCGCCTTCCCTCTACTTACCAGAGTCCTGTGTTCTGTCTGCACGGTATACAGTCCGCCTGTCAAGTGCAATAGCTTGATCCGGGATGTTATGATGAAGCCAGGTTTCTGTAAAGATGTGTGCTCAACAATCTGTGATCTCCCATTGCTGGGTCAGCCTGAGTCTAATTTCATCCATCTTATCTTTCCAGCGACCGGACATTAGCTAGGAGCTGGGTAGTGGAATAACCTTCGGTCCAAGCTGTGTAGTCCTTATCCCGGCTCTCTTCACTCTCTTCGTGGGTCGAACACAACGCTTCACCCGGTCTGGTCGAGTGGTTGAAAGATTTTGTGGGGGATGATCGTCTCAAGAGCCACTGCACTTAATCCAATCCTCGTACTTTCTTTTCCGATGTTGACGAGGGTATTTTTGTCATAAATGTAGCAACGTCTATGGGAGCTACCGGTCGCTGCATCTGCATGCGCCGCTATTGCCATAGAAAAAATATAGGTCTGTCTTAGATGTCCCTCAGAACAAATAACTGAAACAGGGGAAGTTTGTTCCATATTCACATGTACATCAAGTGAACATTGGCTTTGACACAGCTATTAGGGCTGGAGGGAAAAAATCAATACAGCATAGGATTGCAATATTTTGCGTGGCAATTTAACCATCTTTTATTATATAAAGGTATTTATATTGTATTGAGGGATGTCGGGATTAATCGATCAATTTATATAATTCACGGTTTCATAACCATAAGAACTGAAGAAGCTACAATATCCTATATAATATACAATGTCCTGATTCCTGCATTGAGACACTTTTGTGTGCGTGTGGTGAAAACTCGTCTTGCGCGAATCACATTACACGTGTATGTACGGCTCTCTTGTAGATCATGAATCAGCTGGGCATGGAGAAAGGCCACAGCTGATAGTGTTGGAGTGTTCTCCTGTGACATGACGAGTGTAGCTACCTTCATGGGCTTCATAGCGTTGACAACAGCAGAAGTAATGTCTGACTAACTGAGGGTGCAGACTTCCTTCTCAGTCTTCCTCACCTGAGGGGGTGGCTGCACAGATGGCTGGCTGCTGCTCGCTGGTAAAGCACTACCATCTGGTAACCATGTCAGTGATCGGTTGGTGTTCAGGCAGCTGTAGTAACTTTTGTTTTTGTCGCAGAGAATCAAAATCAGAACCGTTTTATTGCCAAGGTATGTTGCACATACAAGGAATTTGACATGGCGGGTGGTGCATAACATTAAATAAAATATAAAATAAAATAAAGTCCACAAACAGATAACAGTACTATAAACAAGTGAGATTTAAGTGTAATGTAAATGTGTCAAGTGTATTAAAATAAGAAACATAGAAGGGATGTGCAGGGGAGTGACCGGTAGGAAATTCCCCTGGGTATGACAGTCAGTGGGGGTCCCGGGCTTTGTTGATGAGCCCAACTGATGACGGGAAGAAACTGTTCATGTGGTGTGAGGTCTTAGTCTTGATGGACAGCAGCCTCCTGCCAGATGAAAGGGGCACAAACATTTTGTGTCCACGGTGAGAGATGGCTGGCTGTCATCTGAAAAAGCTAGTTATGCCTCTCATTCTTCCCAGCAAGCTGATTTAAGCATCAGTGCTCACTGTGAAGCTAAATTTAGTTTGTGCAGGAAACATTTTACATGCAACATAAGAAGCTGCGCTGCTATGGTCATGTTTGATGTGTTGTCTTTCACTACGGCTGGGTCCTTCCCTTTTATGTCCCATTACTCCATGGAACTTTTCAGTAATTCCGCAATGTTACTGTCAGTATGGCTCTCGAGCATTGCCCGTGTCTGCAAAACATATGAAACTAGTTCCCAATCCTCAGAGATGTTGCGTGACGTAATCGTAACATACAACTTAGTGGCTCTTGGCGTCCATCTATCACACGCGAGGGCTATTTCTCAGCAGGGATAAGTGATGTTTTGACACGTTTCTTCACCTCTTCGTAGATCCTAAGTACAGCTACATTTGCCATGTGTCGGCAAGTTGGATCACATAGTGTTCACCATATGCCTGAAGCCGGGGTTTTCAACCACACTAAATGGCCACAAATCATTGCAAATGAAATTGCCCACCAACTCTGTTATCTTCTTTGCCCGAGCTGACATAGATGGGTTGTGTAGTTTGACTTGAATCCACAGGTTTCGGCTGAGGTTCCTATGCCGCTATTTCACCTGCGTGGTGTCTTGTCAAGTGATACCGCAAGTTAGTTGAGGTAGTTTACAAACACACAGGTATTTGAGGGAATTTGAGGACATTTTAAATCCGTTTAAATGTGATTTTTATTTTTATTTTTTTTTTAATGTATTGATACTATCAATGAGCTATTGTGGAAAAAGTTATTGGGATAGTCAGCTGTATTGATATTTTTGTACAGCCCTAGTCTCACTGCCATCCTGTAAACCTTCACTTTAACTCTTGCTGGTACCCTTCTGTCGCATATCACTCCACCCACTCCACCTTGCATTCAACCTCTCTTGTGCATCCCCCATTACGTTGAACAGTTGAGCCCAAGTATTTAAACTCATCCACTTTTGCCACCTCTACTCCTCACCATTCCGCTGCCTTCCCTCTCATTCACGCACATGTATTCTATTTGGTGCCTACTGACTTCCATTCTCTCTGCAAGTCCACAAAGAGATAACTCCTTCTAACCTCCTCTATACTTCTCCATCAACAATCTCAAAGCAAACTCAAAATTTGCAGTGCTCTTTCCTGGCATGAAAACATACTGTTGCTGGTTCATAGCTCTGTAGTTAATAGAGCTCTGAAAATCACCCTTTTTTTGAAAATCGGTACAAGTGCACTTCAGAACCACTTCACTTTCCAAGTTTGTGTTAAACAATTAAATTATAAACTCCACTGCCATCTCTTCTAAACAGCTCCCTGCCTTCACAGGTATGTCATCTGTACCAACTTTCAACTCTTCATTCTCCTCATTTCATCCTTACTAATCAGCCGCACTTCCTGATTCACAATTCCCCAGTGGTGGGCCGTCAGGGCCAGCAAAGCCTTCTCTGCTGGCCTAAACGGAATCACAAAATTATAGCTATTTTATAATTTAATAATTTTTCATAAATACACTACATGTATTCTAATTATTTTTCCCATTATCTTATTTTCTCATTGCACAGCTACTGTCTTCCTCAGTTGCTCTGCTTCCAGCCTGCAGCGCTGCTTCCAGTGCAGCTTGTTTTAAGTAGAGCTCTTATCCAATCAGATTCAGCCCCTATTTCTCTAGGTAGGAAGAGAGGCCAGAGGCCCGCTAGGAATCCTTTGCAGTTTAAGTAAATGGGGACGATATTGTTGATTGTCATAGTCTTCAACCAGTCAGATTTTTAGTTTGGCATGTTGGGTGTATTCTTTGACATGTCACAGCTGTCTTGGTGGCCTACAAGTACGTCAGCATTAACGTGCAGGTCAGCATTTACGTGCGGTGTGATTCGTCAGTGGGCTAGCGTGACTGTTGTGAAGCCAAAGCTAGCTAGCAGAACTTGGAAGTTGTAAGAGTTCAAGTTGAAATTTTAATGAAGGATATGTAAGAAGTTATGACATTGATATGAAATTTTTAGGGTTTTGTTTTTTTAACACTCGCACTGAAGGAGGAGGAGAAACGGATTTGGGAATTACTGGCAATGCTTTTCTGGAGAAAGACATTTCCAGAAAAGCTGGACATCGTAAGAAAGGATCGGCCAACACCACAGCTAGCAGCCCTGACCCAGCCAGGAAAAGGATTTGTACGAACGGTATTCCTGGCTAACAGCTTCTGAGAAGCGTTACACATTTTATGGCTAAGAATGCGTTTTATTTGCGA